CCTCTCCGTCAACCACAAGCCGGATTCGAAGCGGTTTTACTCGCTCTCTACGCTCACGAAACAACCTCACGCGCCGGTCAAGCGATAACCGTCAACATTCCAGATCTCTCACATCCCAGCATTTACCACGAATCCAAAGGTCTCACTAGGAACAATTCAACGTGCCTCAACATTGCTGTGATCTCCTCCACGTTAGATCCACACGGGACGGTGAGATCCACGCGCCGCGCGAGGATCGTCGGAGTCGCGTTGGAGCTTTACTATAGCAAAATCTCGAAAATGCCACGCGAATCTAAGCTTAATTTCTGTGAATCGTGTGAGAAATGGGCGGGGCAAAACGGAGAAACGGAGCAGTCTTCAAGGGCTGTGATTCCGACTTTGAGCGATGATTCGTGGAGAGAGGAAGAGAATGTTGCTATTGGAGGAAGAGCTGAGAGAGATAGTGGAAGGATTCCATTGCCATGGGAGCTTCTGCAACCGATTTTAAGAATCTTAGGGCATTGTCTCCTTGGGCTCAAAATGGAAGATAGGGAATTATCGGAGGCGGCGAATAAAGCTTGTCAGAGTTTGTATCTCCGATCGCTGCATGATATAAATCCGAAGGCGATTCTGGCTACCGGAAGTCTTCTCCGGCTCCGGGAGATGGCTCTTGATCCCAAGAATCAAATCGATCACACTGAGATATCAAACGACACCGTTCTCTCTGTTTGACCTTTTTTATATATTAATTCTTAAAAACTACTTTGATTTGTCAAACCAGAAAAAATGTTTTTTTTTTTTTTTTTTTTGTAATGTAAGGAGAGGCCACGTTCTTGTTGGCTATAAATGAAAAGAAACGATGAATTTTTTTACGTTGACAAGATCATAGAAGAGGTAAATTATGATTTGTGTTATTATTATTTTGATAACACTACCACATCCTCTCAGTGAAAAAGGTCCTGCAAATCGATGATGTCTGCAAGAACTCCGGCTGCAGTAGTGTCGTTCCCGGCTCCAGCACCTTGAATCACCAAAGGCTGCTCCTTGTAGCAACGGCTATATATCTCTACCTGCAGTTTTCCAATCATATCAGTTATTCTTACTCACACGAAAATCTAGAGGCAAATATTGTGCTTGTGTTCATGAGATAAAGTGAGCAAATGAATCAACTAATCTCATATGAGCTAAGTGTGCAGAGAAGGACACTGATAAGCTGTTTAAACCAAAGTATCTTTGTTCATTTTCTCTTCCATGAGCAGTTTCAGGAAGATTTAACAAATAGAATCTTATAACAGACTTACTATATTGTCACTGCCTCTTAATCGTCCCAATGGTGAATCTTTTGGAACTTCTCGAATGCCAACTTGAACGCTGCAGAGAGACCGTGAAGTTTAAGATCCCATTAGAAGACAATTCCAACATTGTACACTAGTATTCTATGGGTGATCCCAATTCTCTCTAGCTACAATCAAATTTGCTTTAAAAGAAATATTCAATGTTGATTGTACCAAAGAAAGTTGGGGTTTGGAAATGTTGACTGTTATTACCTTGAACCCTCAATCACACAGACATAACGAAGCACACACCCATTTGATGAAGCTCTTTTAACTCTCTCCTCAATATTCTGATCAAGTTTTACTATTCCATTATGGAGGAAATCATCCACAGACATGAGTCCAGGTCCCATCTCTTCGGGATACATGCTCTCTATCTACAGAGAAACAATAAAAACTACAGAGGTTATGTACAGGAGAAAAAGGATCAAAAGAGCCTTGTTAGGAGCCATTTTTTTGGGATAGAAAAGGCAGAACCAAAATTTAGACAAGACTAAGATCAGCATGTCCACTGCCCAATTCAAACTTCATCATAAATGACAAAAATGAACTAGAATTTTCCAGCCAAAAATTCAACTGGAATTTTACTCGAAGAGAGTTGGTTCACCAAACATAAATCATAGCATCGAATACAAAAGATAAAAGATTAAAAAAAAGGTTTGAATGTGGTTCACACCTTTATGCTGTCCATAATTATCCTCTTTCCAAGAAGTCGAGCAAGAATCAAACCCTATCACGACAGATACAAACAAAGTTAAAAAAAAATAAAGTTTGTATTAATTATATTCTCTTCAACAAAAAAAAAAAATTGCTTAAAATGAAAATATATGGGAATTTCAAGGCATAGTTTTTCTAATCGCCGTGAGTTGGTAAAAACAGAACAATTAGAGGATTTGCCTACCAATAGTATCAGGAAATCAGATTCAAGAAAAAAGATTTGTTAACATGACCACCAGACAAATCATGACTGCCTTTTGTACTTTACTCAAATTAGATGAAGAAAGCAATCTGCCATGTGGACTGAAGATAACCTCACCTACATCAACAAAGGTATGCAATGCACTCTAACTCTCGCAAGAGACACTACATCTATCTGTTCATACCTTTCTAGCAACATCCATGCCACTGAGGTCGTCACGTGGATCTGTGAATAAAACAAAATAATATGTCAATCAAACATCATCTTTCTTTTCATCTATTACAGGTAGGTTTTCCCAAGGCTAAACCAGCTATGATGCACTACAAGGTCAAGCAAGTTGGAGAATTTTGTCAAGCTACAAAACAGCTTATGGAGTATAGAAAGGCAGACAACGCAATATCTACTTGAGCATAATGCTGCTAAAAGAAAGCAGATGACTATCAATCAGACAAACGAGATATGTGCCATGATGACTAAAATTAAACTGGACAGACCTGGTTCAGTGTACCCCAGCGTTTTGGCAGCTTGAACAACTTGGCTTAGAGGCTTGCCATCTTCAAGCTCACTCATTACATATCCCAAGGTACCTATCATTAATTGAGCACGGATACAAAGATACGTAAATAAATTATACATGCATATATTGGAATAAGAACAACGATAAACATCTATAACACTATCCTGGTAAAATGAATTGCATCTGAAGTGTAATTACCGCTCAAACTACCGACAATTCTATGAACGGGATCTCCAGACGAGATTATGCGGTTCAAGGATGCGATGACAGGAAGACCAGCACCAACCTATAAATAAACATATGTCAGGCGCAAAAGCTTTAAAAATCTCACTACCTACCATAGACAGCCAACCATACCACCATATATTTAAACTAGTTTCATTTTCAAATGACTACTAAATGTGATATAATAGTATTACTCTATATACAAGATGAGTTTCACCTACAGTAGATTCATGGCGGATGAATCGCGGATGCAAAGCCAATTTATCGTAATGTTCCTGCGCAGAAGACAGGATGAGAGAAAATATGAGTAATTTCCAACTACTTAATAAACTAGATTAGCACAGATTTACTGAGAAACTTTTTTTGTAGTTTTCTCATACTATCTAGGATATGTCCAGTTGTTAAAAAAACACGACGGATTTGCAGGCAGAGCAATTTGGAGAACTAGATTGACCTAAGTATTTTTTTCAAAAAGAACCTAAAACAACTTCTTATTCTTGAAATAACACAAAGTACAGGTTCATAATTCTATGCTGTCCCTGAATATACGTGTTCGTGCTAATGATACACCACAATAAAACCAAAAGGGAAGAGAAACAGCTTAAGGGAACAATTTGATGCGTATGCTTGCACATTAATAACATAAGCAGAACATGCAAAAATAATTACTAGTGACAAGAAGTTACCAGTGTTGAAGTAAGAGGCTTCTTATTTGCCAGGACAACACAGCAACCCAAGTCAACTGCCTTCATCAATATCTCAATCGTTTCCATGCTGGCTGAGCAATCCACAACAGCTAAGCCTATAGCAAGAACATGGCTTTTATCTATCAGAAGCTATTTAGGACCAACACCAGAACCAGATTTCAAACGTCACAAAATGCTGAACACCATAACAGTTGTAATTTATGCAACCTTATGTTTGGTACAAACCTGCAGATTTACCAAGAAGTTTTGCAATCTCCTCTGTTTCCCTGCTTAACTCGGAAGCATTGAACACTCGATATCCACCTTTTTCTATGATGAAAAACAGATGATCATCCTGCTTATAATCCATAGACAGACTCATGAAGAAAACAAATGATATAGGCCAAAGAGTTACCTAAAGCACCCAACTTCGATAATGCCAAACCAGATGATTTAATACGGCAAACTTCTGACAAGAGTTCATCATTCAGTTCCTCTTTGAGCACATCCATTGGAGCAACTAAAGATTTACTGTCACATACTCCAACCACCCGTAATTGAACTCCCTATCAAAAAAACGGATACAAATGAGGAATTCATGATTTTGTTTGTGAGCTTAAGGAATGCATATTCGGGAAAATTTTCTTAACATTTGTCCAAGTACCAAATTTATTAACTCAAAATTAACCTAGATGATGATTATGATAATGCAGATAAAGAATTGTTCCTCTACGAACATGGAAAAATCGAAGAAAGATGATCCAGAAAACAAAAATCAGAAGCCATGTATAAAACCACATTTAGTTTACTGAGAAATCGAGCTATGGAGAAACGAGTAAGTGAGGAGAAAGAGAGTAAGGACCATTTTCGCGTGAAGCGATCGGCAAGACGCGATGTGTTGAAGAAGGTGGCGGCCAACGCCTCCGCATCCCATGAGAAGCACCGCAATCTTCTTCATCCTTCTTCTCTTCTACTGCTTCTTCCTCGATTTCGTCTATTTTTTTTCGGTCGCTGATATTGTCGCAGCAAACCCAGCGTATAGGAAACGCTACGTTTAAGGGACGATACGATTGCTAACGTTGATAACAATCACATAAATCGTTTATAATTGCTAGATTTTAAAAACTTCTTTCTGCTAGCGTTTGCACAATATTACATTACCTATAAAAAAAACCATTATTCAAATGTCGAATTTAACAGAAAAAAAAAAGAGATGGAAAATTCAGTTAAAAATAAATTAAAAAAAGGAGTTAAAACAAATTAAAAAAAAATTAAAAACACAACAATTTGGAATTATATTGTTTCTTAGTTACTTATAATTTTGTGTGAGTGTCTAATCATTTTTTTTTTGTCATCAAATTTTTATTCACATTATTACATTGCCATAGTCGGAGAAAGACAAGATTTCTCAAGCATACTACTAATAATATGAGGCAAAATGAATAAAGCGATACAAGAATAAAACCCACAAAGAAAAAGATAGAAACTAATTAAACTCGACAAACTGGAATCAAATTAAAGCAGCCTCTTTCCAGAAGATACTTTGAGAGAACGTAATGAAGATGCCCTCGGCCAACGATCGCTACTCAAAACCTCCTCTTTAGATGACAAACTGCCTAAACAAATCAAGAATCATATGCTTTACAATCCGGCAAGATAGAACCGCGCACCTATTCTTATTAGCTTACAACAAATATGTCACTATGGAAACAGCAATGGGAACATTGGAGAAGAAACATGAGAAAGTGCTAGCATATGCACTTTGATTTAAGGGATTCCATTTGATCAATCATTAATCCCACAAAGAGCTTTCAAACATGCGACAGCACAATCATCTTTTGTTGGGGAACCTTCTTCAGATCCAGTGCAATCGCTATAAAGTTTGGAGCAAAGATTAGTAACTTTGATTAACTCTATCAAAAATCAAAATATATGTACCAACCAGTTTGGACAACATGGGGCGTTAACTACTTCTTCTGTCTTTGCTTTGATGTTTTCCTCGGAGTTCATGGTTTGAATCGGTGGAGCTGCGTGCATATCACCAAAGAGATTAAGATATAAGCTAATTTATTAATTGACAAGGTTCGTTTGTTTTCACCTTCGATTACGGAGGAACTCATGATGACTTGAATTAGATTCTTTGTTTTGGGAAGATTTGCTAGCTGATTATATTATATCTGTAATGATGTTTATGTGTGACGTTTGCTCTGTTGGAACCCCATTTACCATTCTAATTCCTTGCTCCTAAGTACTATATTGTTTTCTATTTTTTTTGGTCAACTCTCTAAAACTATATTTAAAATGGTAATATGGTAAACCAAGCAAAAATTCTGAAACTTATCGAGAAAAAAAGAAACAAATTCTGAAGCTTTCAGATTGGAAGATGTAATTTGTTTTCGTTATATAACTCCGCAAGTGGTTGACTTGAATCTTTCAAAGTAAATTGGGCCCAAGTCGATTTAAATAGAGGAAACATTAATGGGATTGGGCCCTTAGCCTCGGCCCTTTACATATCAAACGTAAATAAATTAGTAATGAAATTAATTACTCTACATAGTAATTTAGAAGAAAAACTGGTTTGGTTATTTATTGGTTCGGTTCGGTTCGATTCAATTTAAAATTAGAACCAGCTAGAAGAAAACTAACGGGAAAAATGTCAAAAAAAATCATGAACTTTCAAATTTGGGACGATTTAATCTTGGACTACGATGAAGACATCTAACTCATAAAGTTTTTGTTGACTTTACAATTAATTAGCGTAGTTTGTTTGACTCGTCATTTTAGACACATCGATTTCATTTTCTAACCCTAGAATCCCAATCTCTCTCTCTCGCTCACCTCTGTTGGATTCCGACTGATGAT